TGGGAGGAATACCACCAGTGGGAGGCATACCCTCAGTGGGAGGGGTACCACCGGTAGGGGGGGTACCACCAGTAGGAGGAGTACCCCCAGTGGGAGGAGTACCACCAGTAGGAGGAGTACTTCCAGTGGGAGGCATACCGCCGGTAGGGGGAGTACCGCCACTTGGGGGAGTACCGCCAGTGGGAGGAATACCACCAGTGGGAGGCATACCCTCAGTGGGAGGGGTACCACCGGTAGGGGGGGTACCACCAGTAGGAGGAGTACCCCCAGTGGGAGGAGTACCACCAGTAGGAGGAGTACTTCCAGTGGGAGGCATACCGCCGGTAGGGGGGGTACCGCCAGTCGGGGGCGTACCGCCAGTGGGAGGAATGCCACCAGTTGGAGGCATACCCTCAGTGGGAGGGGTGCTTCCAGTTGGGGGGTTACCGCCAGTAGGAGGAATACCACCTGTGGGAGGGGTGCCGCTGGTGGGAGGCATGCCATCAATGGGAGGCATACCCTCAGTAGGGGGAGTACCTCCGGGAGGAGTTCCACCATTAATGTTGTTGGTCACCGTGTTGGTGTTGGAATTGTTATTGTTATTGGTATTGGAATTGTTGTTCGTGTTGGAGTTGTTGTTTGTATTCTCATTGGAATTGTTGTTTGTATTAGAGTTGTCATTGGAGTTCGAATTGTCATTTATGTTGGTGTTGGTATCACACGGCGAGCAGAGACCGAACTTATCCATCTTGTGCCCTATCAAGCCCTGAATTAAAGGGAGAAAGGTGCGAGCTTTCAGGCTGGCTCCTTCCTCACCACATGGGGGGCATAAGCCACCCATAGGGAAAAAGGTACGAGACTGCAGGCGAGCATGGACCTTACCCTCTGGAGCATGGGCAGGGACGGGGTCAGCCAGTCCGTGATCACTGGTAGTCACGGACACCGGAACCGCCAGGGCCGTGGCTGAAAAGGCAATGGTACAGAGAGTGGAAGTCTTCATCTTTCCCAGAAAGAGAAGAAGGAACAGAAAGGAAAAGACAGTAAAAACAAGAGAACAATGCAAACTTGAACGAGTGAATTGAGTTGAATAGCGGGATGGAGAAGTGATATTGAGGACTTCCAGGGACCTTATATAGCTTTCATTTCGCTATCTTTTATGTTCTGATGGCCGACCTGGGTCTCGATTCTCGATGGGGTTCATCCATGTTTCAAACCGTGCTATCCACTATAGAGGTGTAGCAAAAGCTTGCCAGGTTTCAAAAAACAACCTATACCGAGCTTTTTTGGGACGGGCTAGACTCCACAACACAATAAACTGGGTACCAGCATCTGATCTTTCCTTACCCTTCTCTGACCAGATAATGCTCCCAGGGGCCGTAGCCTTTCATGCGTTGCACATGTATTTTGTATGCAGTCTATTCTAAGATGGATTTAATGCACAAGCCTAGCCAATCCCACACCTCGTAGGAGAGATAATTGTGTATGAGGAACCAAACAACAGCCTCATGACCTCGCACGTCGATCTTGTCCATATTAGTAAAGCCAGGGGAAATCGTGGCATCGAAAGTTTTCGACCTTCAGGCACGCCTACTTTTAGTAGTCGCTTTTGGTCCAAATTTGGTCCGATTAGAGTTATCGGTCCGTGGACCCACAGACCACGCACGATATTGAACCCTTCAGGTGAGTCGGACTTCCATACTGCCAGTGAGGGCTAAGCTTAGGCAGTTTATCTCATGGTACTCTCTTTTGAACTACAATACCTTTTCTATAAATATCCGAATCCCAAGCGTATCACGGTGTGATGCCATTTTTGTTTACTTTTTGTCCCCCTTCCGGAAACGAATGTAACCTTGACCCCTGTTTGAGAATCCTCCATTAGGGTTACATGAGGTGCAAAACGTAGTTAATAATAACAACGGATGAAGCATGATTAGTTGCTTCCCAAGTTGGGTCGTCCCACTTCTTTCTCGGGTCCTTGAGTTACTCGACGCGCAGGGCATCCAACGTCCACTTTACTTAACAAAGGGAAGAACTATTCCAGTCGAGTCAAGAAATACGAGATCGAAGTGACGGATGGTTACGTCCCTGTAGTCTCTAGTAGGCCATTGTAGGATGCAGAACGATTTGTATTAATCTGCCGGCGAGGCCATTCATTTTACCCTCGTCGTTAGGAGATAGACGTGGAGGTCAGAGACCATCCAAAGAAGTTGACGACTACTACTACTACTACTACTACTACTACAAGTACAAGTACAAGGAGAGGATATTTCATTGACAACGTTTGTTTGAATTGAGATATTACAAAACAATCGTAGAAACTAAATGTTGCTCAGGCACAGAGAATGTAAGTAGATCCGGTACCATGCTGCAAATTATCTTCCCGACATGAAATTGTTTAATATGTTAACGAAAGATCAACCAGGCCAAGGATGGTGTTAACACTGATGAACTGTTTTAAGTCCCAGTTGGGCACATGCAGTCCAGCATAATCGCTGAAGTAATATTCTTCACACTTCGCGATACCTGTGTACCAACTTCTTTTCGATCGATTCAGTCATAGCAGCGACAACGCCTGATAAGGGTTAGTACACTCTAAGGACATCCCTCTACTTTAATCCAGAGTACATACCTTCTGAATCAGCTAGACTGTTGGTGAAACGTAAAGGACTGAAAACCTTGTCCCTGGGTATAACATCCGCCTCCTCCCGTCTGGCGAAAGTCATCACCACCAGTTCCGCTCGCGGCGCTGAATGTATGTATAGCTCTCAGAGGTACCACTGGCTTTCATCGATTGGATATCTTTGCCGCCGGTCAACCACAGGCAGCTCAAAACTGTATTGCCAGCAAACGAAATACTACATCCTGTACACTCAGCATTCGAATAGGCGGTTACATTCCAGGCGGCTGCGAGAGATGCATAGGTAGAAAGAAGAGCAATGGTGGGGAAATGCATTTCGGAGAGATTGTTAACTTCTTTCTGAGGGAAGTGAATACTTGATACGAAGGCTTTTTATTTAGCAATCCCAACGTCTTCTTACATCTTCACTTCTTATATTAGGGTCAACAATAGGAGATGCTTTGAAACTGGGCCCAGGAAACTACTGGGATTTGACGTGGAAAGCAGCGGCCAACCCGCTTATTATCAACTGGAAGTTCTTGATATATACTACAGCTGTCAACGGCTATCGTTATCCTAGGATATTCTGCCTTGTGTGTCCACCTTCAAGAAGGTGCGCGAGACGAGGGTGACGGGTCTGGAATAAATTCTTTGTCTGTTAGTGTATAACTCCTACGAGATGAATCACGCAAGGGCCCAATCCTTTCCGCTTAGCGTGGTCTTGAGTCTCGATATTCTGAATAAAACGGTTGTTGCGGAGTGGTCGCTATGGCCTACTGTATATATAGTGTTAGACTCAACAACGACGTACTGAGATTTTCTGTAAAATGGTACAATATCTACATTCACACATAGATACGTTACAATTGAGAAGTAGGAGGCAAGCAAAAAAGATTTACAAGCATTCCTGAGCAGGTGCCGTGCCTATTGTCATTGATTAGCCCTCGAATCTCATCTCCACACGTGTCAATCTCGGTAGCAAAAATGCCGCATGCCAGAACCATGCCAAGCAGCACAAAAGCATCTCTATAAAGGTACCCAGATTGCAATAATTGTACGACAGAAATCACAAAATAACCAAAAGCACCCGAAACCTCTCCCCTGCCCCCCAATATGGCATGCGATAAATGCCCTGCGCCTGGCAGCGAAGCCGAGAAAACAACTTCGGATGATGCGACGCGTCCATCGCGCATATTTGACTGGGGTTTCCGAATCCTTCCCGAAGGATCTGCTTTATTATCTTCCTCTTGCTGTTGGCTACCGGTATGGCATTCTTCTGGGCTGCGATAATTTCAATGAAGGCTGATTAAAGTGGACGTAGACCCTGTTAGATTGGGTCTTTGCCGGTTCCATAACGGCAACGGGTATAGAGAAACTTCGCCCCTTTTTTCTGGCCATTTCGATCATCACCCTCGCCTGGGGTATTCGACGAGAAGGACCCAGTCGCGGCATAATCCGTCGGGCCATCATCAGTGCCATCCTCGTGGCCTGGCAGGGATACAATCAACGCAGGGAGGCTGTGAACGGACACCACCACAGCTGCCACTGACGGGAGTGGGGGTGATTTTCAGGAAGTTTTGTGCAGTTGAAGCCCAATGTAAGCAGGATCTTTAGTGATATTCATTTTCTATGTACCATCTTCCGCCATCCACAGTAGGGAGTGGTTATTTGAACCATCCGGGTACCGCTATGTGTATATGGAAGGTTAGTAGGATCAGGCAGGGTAGTTCTGGGGATGCTTACTCGTGGTTAGGGGCGCGATGGAGCAACCTTGAAAGATACTTCACTTCCACAGCCCAATATGTAGGTAATAAAAAAGGCATGTCGATGGGCATGACTGTGAATGCCAGGAAAAGCTGGGCCTCGGGGTTCGGCACGGGCCACCAAAAAGTCAGAGTGGAGGTCCGGCCCTCGTTCTCTGTAGTCATCTTCAATCCATATCCATTCCCGGATAGCGAAGCAATATTGGTGCTACTGTATCTCGCGTACACCTACTAAATGTGCCATTCACTTGTCTCAGATTCCTAGCTGATCGACTTTCATACCGGCGTACCTAATAATACATCAGAACAGAGAGATAACGAGATACCAACAAAAGCATCCGTGCATTAGACACACTATTAGTATCCTTAGTAAAGGTATAGATGATGGAGCATAGTTATCGTATAGGAATATTGAGGGATACGTGCCTATGATAAATCTGCTGGCCCGTCTGCCTTAGCTCGCACCTTGACAACACCTACAATTGTTGCAAATTAGCCAATGTAAATCCTACTAAGTAACAGCCTAGCGGTATTTACCAAGCATAATCACCTGAAAACCAGAGCGCCATATTCATGTGATGTGTTTGACCAGGATGTTAAGCCGGTGAAACATCCATAATAGAAACGGTTTGGTGGTAGGACAAAGATACATTGCAAGCATCGAACAGTGTCAGAGGAAGAGAAAGAGATGCTTCTAATGCCAATGGTTTGGGCCTGGCAACACCAAACAAGCGGTTCTCTTCTCAGACAAGCAGGCAGGCTACGCTACAAGCAATCATGACCCGCGAATCTCCCCGAAATAGTTTATTATGAGTCCCGAAGGGTCTCGAGAACTTCAATAGAGCCAGATACAAGTGGCAATGCACCAAATCCTCGCCCATCAGGGCATTGAAGGGAATGAACGAGCACATGAGACTGCGAAAGAAGCCACAGGATGGAGGCCTAACCAACCTGCAGACGATGTTCAAATGCCAAGGGATATCCCGAATGTCAGCAAAATACTGGGAACGACCCGAGAGCGATGGACCAGATCTAGACCGAATCATACGCAGCATCCTCATTCGAGCTTTTCCTGCAATTTTTCCTGAGACAAAATAGACCCTTCGGTTTCTGTAAGACGTTATTCATCCAAATCTCTGTATGGTTTATCTCACCTGTACATTTCTAACTGGGGCATGAGTATAGCGGAGGGTGCGTGCGAATGCTTTGAATGAAGACAATGACAACCCCCCC